TTCTCGTGTTCAAAGCCCACCCATAACATGCATGACCGTAGGCCCCCCCCCCACACACCCCTGTGTTAGTCCTTCAGTTGGGGAGTACTGATGCGTCCTGACGTTGTTTATGAATAAAATAATATTGTAAAACATCCTCCACAGACTCTTAGAAAGAAAAAAAAATCAGCTGTTTCCACATTCTTAATTAAAAACCCATAACATTTTTTTATTATTTTGAGGTTGTGAAATCTTTTTGTAAGGTTGAGTGCAATGACAAAAACCTACCACTGGAGGCAGCAGTGGACCTGTAGTTCCTATGTCTCCATGCGCTAATATTACCGACTGACTCTATGACTCTATCCTGTTGGAAAAAAAGTTAAATGTTTTATTGAAGCTAATTCCTTTCACACATCGCTGAGAAAACACAAAAATCCCAGAACTGTTCCTTTTTCAGCCGTGCTTCACATTTCACTGGATCTTTTTTTCTGCACTTCCATCAATGGGACTCTCTTTCATCTGCTGCTGTGACTGGTCTTTAAATGTCAACCACAGACACACACACACACACAAACACAGTGTGTGACCCGTCACACTTGATGAATCTCAGCGAACCAAATGTTTGTCAGCGCAGCAGGAAGACAGTGTGAGGTGGCGTTGAGAGAGCGAAGGCGTCGTGACACTGAGTGTCCTCGACACAAACGCTTCACTCTAACACTTTTAACGATCAACCGCCGGCGAGAAGAGAGCAGACGACGGCAGAGTGGAGGTTTAACGATGAAGACGATGTGACGAGGGTTGGCCTCAGGCAACGGCTCTGATCCAATCAGAGGCTGAAGGTCAGGAGGATTAATCAGCCTTTAAACCAGATCTCCATCGATCCACCTGGTTCACACAGGACCAGCTGTCCTGGTGATGTTCACACCACCCATGGTCCAACACCACACTCACTCTTCATCGATGGTTCCATCACCAAATCTGGTCTCTGTAACCTCTCCAACAGGTCACTGAGTGGAGACTGTTCGACTACTGTTGACTAGTTACTACAACAGACGATCAAAAACGTTGACTCTTCATCCTTTAAGCACATTCTTTAAGTTTTATTATAAACTGTTTTCACGAAAACTTCCAGAACATGCGCCATTTGATTTTTGACTTTCCAGGGACTCTTGGGCTTCAACAACCGTTGGACTTCCTGTCAGACCCACTGTTTCATCTACTTCGCTCCATCAAGGACTGTTCAGTCTACAAGTGTTCACAGACTGTTCACTACGACTGTTCCATCGCCAATAAAACAAACGTCTTTACTCACCGAGGCCTTGCGGAGTCGGTCCGTCTTGCCAAAGAAGTAAGCGTCTTCGAAGGACGAAGTGCTTCCTCGCAGCTTCTCTGACAGGTTCCTGTAGAGGCGCTTGGCGGCGTTGGGGGAAGCAGGTCCACCGGGACACTTCCTGGTCTGAGACAACTGAAGGTTCTGCATCTGCTGGGTCATAACGCCTGGGAAGTGTCTGCAGGTTGAGAAAGAAGGTTCACCAGTGACACAGGACTCACAGGAAATATCACAGTCACAGACAGGCTACATCTCCTTAGCTTAGTATTAGCAGCAGCAAAATCTCTGTGCTAAAGTCTCTGTAAACAGGATCCAGGGTGAACGATGGAGTCTGTCAGACCTCTTCATGACAGTCTCTGACTGTCCATCGAGGAAAACTCTCAGACGTGGTCTGGAAAACAGTTGGTGAGCAGTTCTGAATTTTGAAATAGAACTCCAAATCTACTTCTGATCCAGAAAACACCCAAACCTGACAAAAGTCAAACCAAGTTCATCTGTGGCCACAGTTTCGTCACTGGAATCGTAGTTACACATGAAAACGGTCAGTTTTTACACAAACAGTGTAAAAGTTGAGGTAATGCACCTGAACGTGCATTGCTTTTCTGCAGTAGAGCTAATGATTTGTGTCTGCGAGTGAGCGCCCCCACCTGTCCAGGCTCAAGGAGGTGCGGGGGGTTCTTCCCACTGTTTGAAACAGGGGTCTGAGGTCTTTGATCAAAGCATCTCCTGGTGACAACCTCTGGTTCCACCGCTGAGCCAACTGGGAGATCTTACTGTCAGCCCTGAGGAGGGGGGGTGAGAGGGAGAGAGGGTGGGCAGAGACAGAGAAACATTATCAGACACAGCAGTGGTTCTGGTTCCTCAGGTGGTTGAAAGGTCAACCTTCAAGTCAGACCTTCATCCTTGCTCTTTGAACAAAGTCAGAATTCACTTGTCCCTCCAGAACAGGCCCCGCCCCATCCTGCAGTGACCATTTGTAAAAACTTTGAATGAAAGCCAGGTCAAAAACAGGAAAAAAAAGGGTCTCTGAGAATCCTGGCCAGGGAGAACCTGATGAACCTGAAGTGGCCACTCCTCAAGCAGCAGGAGAAAAATGGAAGTTTCTACAGACGGCGTTCACGTTCACACACACACACACACTGGTCTGGATGTGGTCAGCGTCGCTCTCCATCCTCCTCACTTCATCTCTGTGACCGATGTCAGCGCTGCTCTGCGTACCAGCATCTCCACACTCGCCACTCGCTCTGAGTGTTCGTGTGTGATGGGGGAGGAGCCTCTGATTGAGCCACGGCACCAACCGCTACAGATAATGCTACGTTCCAGTGAACGAGAGAGAACAAGAGAGGGAGGGGGGAGAGAGAAAAGAGAGAGAGAGAGAGGGAGGGAGAGAGAGAGAGAGAGAGAAAAGAGAGAGAGAGATGATCTCTTTCCTGGAGCTGCAGCTCTGACTGACTGGAGACACCTGTTCACCAGGGAGCGCATCGCTACAGAGTCATGTACGTGCACGTGGAGGCACGCTCTGATGGACACACACCCGCACACACACACACACTAATACATGGTGACAGGGTAAAGGCAGTAAGAGTGGGGGTCTAATGAGATAGAGATGTTTGAGAAGAGGGTTCCTGCTGAGAAGGGGTTGTGCTGTTAGGTTGAGAGGAGGCGCGCGCGCACACACACACACACACACTCACTCACCATGGAGGAGGGGCAGCAGCTTCAGGCTTTGAAAAGGCAGAGAATAAAAGAAAAGAGAGATTGTGTGTGTACATGTATATAACAAATATATATGTGTGTGTGTGTGTGTGTTGCTCACTAACACAGAGAGAAGATTATATTTACTGATGTCTAAAATGACACAGAGTTGCTGTGGCACAAACAAGAGAAATTAAATGAAATGATAGAAGGTCACGAAGACCTACGTGACAACAAAATCATTTCCATTTTTTTTTCTCAATTTTGATGCACTGAGAGGAAAAACACTGGAGACTGAGACAAAACTGCCAGTTGTGGGGCGCAGGAGCTCCTCACATCAGTTCATCTGTTAAATAGATCATTTTCTCTATGGACTTTGGTCTGAACTAAAATCACTGATTTTCTCTATGGACTTTGGTCTGAGCTAAAATCACTGATTTTCTCTATGGACTTTGGTCTGAGCTAAAATCACTGATTTTCTCTATGGACTTTGGTCTGAGCTAAAATCACTGATTTTCTCTATGGAGTTTGGTCTGAGCTAAAATCTGTCTCTGCAGACGAACGGTGAGCGGTAGCATCAGTGGAAGTGCCAGCAGCTTCACCGGCTCCAGTTCCAGGTCCAGGTCCAGATCATCATCCAACTCTCTTTCTCACTCGCGCTCCGGATCCAGAAAATCCAGGTAGAGTGAGAAGCGTGCAATGAATGAAATGAAAAAATGAAAATGTAAAACACTGACTCAAAGAGAACATTGACTCCTTTCACTCCCTGCAGATCGTTGAGTGTCAGCAGCGTGTCTTCTGTCTCGTCGGCATCGTCCAACAGCAGCTCGGTGCGGAGCGCCGACTCAGATGACATGTACGCCGACCTTGCCAGCCCAGTCTCATCGGCCAGCTCCCGTTCGCCCACGCCTCTCAGCCCATTCCTCCACCTTCTCCTCCCCCTGCAAGAAGGCAGGAAGAAGAAGAACAACTGTTATGACAACACCAACGATTAGCGTGTCAGTGAGTGCTGCCACCGGCTACAGCTGCTGCTGATTGGCTCACAGCTGTTTCCATGGATACCATTAAAGAGCCACAGGTGAAAAGCAGGGACACACACACTTACACACACACAGTTTCTCCACCTGCACTCATATTAAAACTCAAACACTGTTGAAGGGGATTGGTTCCTGTCAGGTCATGTGACCCAGCATCACAGGGCTGCTAGTCTCTGCTGGATTGTTCTCAGCCCACGCTATCCCATAATTCACAGCTCAGTACAGACTGTTGTGTAAAGTTTTCGTTGAAGATTACCTGAAATGAACCAGTATTAACAACTGGCAACAATTCTGCCACATGGACTGATATCAGGACCAATGGATTGGACCAGGACTTACAACATAACGACAAGTACCAAGGACAGGGACAGTTCCAAGACCTTCATGTATTAGGAGTACAGTACACTACCAGTATATTGGACAGTAAGTTGGACCAATAACTAAAAAGGGAAATAGCCCTGCCCAGACTGGGCCACCCTCAAACCGGCCACCCTCTGGTCTAAAGTCAATTTTAAACCACTAGGGGCGCTAACACCGCAGACTGTGTTTTGTCAGATAGTTTGGTGTCAAAGTGGACTCTCAAAGTCACGACTCCTGAGCACAGACTCACACTGGTACAAGTGTGTCACGACAGTCCCTGACGACTCTTAGAATCTGTTCCACACCGAGACCAGCGTGAAAACATGAAGCCGCTACTACAGGGTGAGACCAGACATGTGCACGCTCACACGTGCACACACTCACATACAGAGAACACTGTGATGAGTCAGCAGCTCAGTCATGACTCAAACCCAGGGCTGCTCTGAGTGTTAATGTGTGTTTCTTCACAACTCTGTTAGACTCTACGGTTCAGTTAAACAAACACTGCTCCACAATAAAGATGAATATATGTGAGGAGGACAAAGGTCAGGCTCGGGGTCTGCAGCTTGAACAGGAGATACAGGAGCCAAGTAGTACTGCACAAAAGCAGTAGTAAAATAAAAGTTGTTGAACTGAGGAGTGAATAAAAAAATAGGTATAGGCAAGTCACACTTATAAAGAAAAAAAAAAAAGATCAACAGAAATTGCCGCATCTTGTGTAAAAACTGCATTTCTTTGACTATGCACCAGAGGGCCCCTACACTGGTCTGTGTTCAAGACTAGGAAAATAAACCGTGACGTTAGCATCTTTGTGTCCCCAGAGAATCGACACTAACGTCTCTTTTAAATTCTAAATGAGTTGTTGTTGACGACTGTAACATTGAATTTGTAGCAAATATATAATAATAATAAAAAAATCTTACTTTTTCCTGGTGTCGTATCGCCCACTGTTTCCCGCACTCTGTAAAAGATAAACGGGAGGAAATGTTCACTTCCTGTCACATGTTCACATCCAACACTTTATTTAAAAACTGTTGTCAAGGTCCTGTTTGACTGGACCACATCTTTGGATGGAGCATTGTCAAACACTTTCTATGCACTATTGAAGTGGGCCACTGGAGGGCATACTACAAAACAAAAACCAGACAGCAAATACATTAACTGGGCCTATTATGTTGACATTTTTGCTAACTTGGAGCTAACTCTAAGTTGTACTGTTTGAACAACCTTATCTAAATCCAATTTCTTTTACTTTCTTTAGCTCCACAGCAGTTAGCATTTAGCTACGTTTGCGTTCTTTGATACACACGAGCTCCCTCTCCTCTCCCCGTACACTTCTGACTGTCCAACAGTGAAAACACCCGTAGAACAACGTGTCCTACACTGAAAAGTCCTGGCAGCCGTGTGTACTACGGCAGCCTGGCTGGACATTTTCCACTCCTGCTTTGAGAAAGTTGAGCCACATATTTTACTGGGACATTTAAAAGCCCCTTTCATGGGCATTTCAACACCTATTACCCCCGAGCTCCCACTAATTTTTGACACTAGTCCAAGTTATGATCTACATGGCTGCGTCAAACTCCATCAGGGTCCATGTCAGTCATCCTGTCACTCAGGTGAGGGAGGGCAGGAGCTGGAGGGGGGGTGAGTGAGTGCTGTTGGTGTTGGTGACTCCGCCTCCCCCCGTGTGAGTCTGGAGGGCTCATGAATGCAGGCTTTGCTGAGCTAATTAACCCGGGGGAGGAGAGGCCAACAAGCCGGCTACAGTCAGACCTCAAAATAAAGCCTTGTTCAAATTAGAAAACTGATGTGAGAAGAAGTGAGGAGGGGGGAGGGAGACGTATGGGGGGGTCAGCTGACTGCGGTCAGACAGGATCGCCCGTGTGTGGTGAGAGAGAGGTTATATTAGTTCAAATTAGTGGTGCAGAGAGGGAACCCCGCCAAGAGTGTGTGTATGTGTGTGTTTTTCTACCCAAAAGTCTGATCGTTTTAATATAACCCAAAGAAATGACATTTTCTGTCTTCAGTCTTTGATATTTCTTTTCCTCAAATATCGTTGTTGACTTTTTTTGAAATAAATATACTTTTTTTTTTTTAAACACTTCTGTCGATGTTAGGTCACAGGGACAATATAACTGCTGGTCCACTGTTGCCTCGTGTGGTCAGTTTGTGTCACCAAAGACACAAAATAACAAACTTGCCATTAAAAGAAAAATTCAGCAACTGCTGTTAATCCCTTTTTGTTTTGTTTTTACAAAAATACTTTACAAAGAGAAGAAACGTTTTTAAAATAGAAAGCAATGATGAAATAAGCAGAAGTCTGAAATATTTTACAAAAAAAGTGGTAAAACAACACACATTTTAATGACGTGGCAGGAGAGGACAGCAACCCCCCAGTCCCCGCCCCCTCCAAGGGCTCGAATCACAGATACATCTTATTAACTTTGTACATGAAAATAAGACGTAATACAAGTAGAAAAGGCTGTGCAGCAGCAGGTTAATGAAGGGAACGTATTCTGTGATAGTGTCGGTTCCATTAGCTGAAGGCTGCAGTGGATCAAACTCAACATTTTTTCCTTTTTTTGTATTTTTCTTGTTTATTTTTTTAAGTGTGAAGACTAAATAAATGAGTCTGTATTTGTGCCACAGCAGCAGGAGAGTTTCTCTGCAGTAAAACATGAGTAAACTCTGTGTGTGTGTGTGTGTTTACGCAGTCTTCTCATATCATGCGAACACACTCCTGAAGACGGAGAGGAGGAGGAGGAAGAGGAGGAGGGGGGAGACAGCCGCCGCTCCTGCGGCGGCAGCGTGTTGTTTTAAGGGATTAGGAGTAATAAGATGGCAGGCTGAATTTATGGAGCTAATATTTCATGGAGGCTGATTCATGGAGCAGCAGCAGCAACAGCAGCAGCAGCAATGGCAGCAGCAGTTTTTAATGGCCCTCAGAAAGACTCTCTTGACTTGTGCCCTGATGTGATTAGCCCCGCGGGAGCGTGGCGGCTAAATACACCACTGTGCCAGTGTTTGTGAGCGTCGGCCGACGAGGACGGAGAGCAAGCGAAGCCGAGAGACATGCGAGACTAAACAGGACACACACACACACACTCATATGCGCGCGCACACACACACACACACACACACAGTGCCAGTGCTGTGCTGGGCTCCATGTGTAGACACATTTACTTCTATTCCATATGTCATTAATGACAGTGAACAGACGCCAGAGAACAGACAGGGTTTTAACCTCACGTCACCTCATCAGGCCCGCAGCCAATCACAGGCCAATCAACAGCCTGTTACTGTCAGACAGTTAACTGCCAACAAACAGTTAACTCATGTCATCAAACAGTCATCAATAAAGAACCAAACATCATGGGCCAATCACAGACAGGCAACCATATAGTCAATAGTAAGCCAATTATCCACAACCAATGAAACAATGACAATTAAATAGTTACTAACAGCCAATCAGAAATCACCAACAACCAAAACCTCACAAAACCAAGCACAATTCACTAGGGATGATATTATCGGCCCAATATTAGTATATTTTGTATTATCTGTAAGAATCGTTTACGTTTTTTCCTCCAATAATGAAAACCCGATAATGCAACACCTGGGTTTCGTCAAATGATGCGTGCTCTAAAATCCAGTGAGATGACTCAGAGCTCTTACGGACTTTTATTGAAACACAATTGCAGTAACTCCTCCTAAACTCCTTTATTGTTATCAACCCAGCT